CGGCGCCGCGGCGAGGGCCTCCCTCTTCTTGGGGGGCTCGGGAGGGGAGCGCTTGTTCGGGTCGGTCCGCGGGCCGCGCGGCGCGGCCCAGGGAGCCCGTCCGTGGCCGAGGCTCGCCGTGGCCACAGCAGGCCCCTGCGCTTCCGCTTTGGAGCAGGTGCACGTACATGTGGATTTGTGTATACACACATGCATATATATATATATATATGTATCTATAGATATATATATATATATACAGTTACATCTACATATACATATACACATATATATGAATATATATATATATATATATATATATTGGGCCGGACGAAAGGGGGGGATTGGAAAAGAGGGGGGGATACGAAATTTGCTGCACGCAGCTGGTTTCGGCACCACCGAGGGGCCTATTCCTCGATACACAGCCGTCTCCGGCGCCGGGAGGCGCCGGGAAAATCAGCTACGTGAGCTGATTCTCAAACCCCCCCTTTGCTATCCCCCCCTTTCGCCCAACCCGAATATAGTATATAAAAATACATCTATATGTATAGATATACACTCATGTATACTATGTAGAAGATGTACCAACCTACATTGGCCTGGGCCAGCAGAAAGAATTTCGAGCACCGAGGGAGTCTCGAAGCTGGCGGGTGTTCGCGTGTCGGGCCCTGCGAGGCGATACTCGCTCGACAATGGTTAGATACTTTCATGGGTGCTGGAAATTATGTTTGGGATTGTGTCCTGAAATGCGATGGGAGCAACACACATATATACATAAATGTATATATGTTTGGCGTTCCTTATGGTATATCTTTGCCAGGGGTCGACCTGCACGATGTTTCTCGGCGATGGCGTGGGCCGTTTTCGTTTCGACTCCGTTTTGCAGCAAAGGCGGAGTGAAGGCAAAACGATGAACGACTACAACAGAACGACAATGAAGAACACTGTCTGGGTCGATCCCTGATCTGTGCTCCCCCAGAACTTCCAAGATGGCCCTCAAGATGGCCGAAGACGGCCCAAGAGGCCCCCCAGAGGCCTCAAGACGGCGAATTGAGGAAGGCTTTGGTGCACCGACTTCCAGTCATCATGCAGCTCAGTCTCATCCTGGTCGTTCACGTCGCCGTAATTAGGTGCCGCCCCGGGGGCCAGATCCTTGAGCCGAGCCCAGGCCCCCTCCGCGTCGTGGAGAAATAGCACGGCGGACGGCGTGTGCAGAGGTTCTGGCTCCAGGGCCAGGAGCTCCAGGATCAGGAGGGAAAAACACACAGACACAATTAATTGTCGACTCCCAGGAAAATATAGGAACATATGGGAAGTGGGGGGAAGACAACAACCCTGAAAATATGGAAACAGATGGGGAATCCTGGGATTTGTGTGTATCTATTTGTTTGTCCCAGGCCCCTTCACAGGACCGTCCGCAAAAAGCTGGGCAGTGATCTAAACTTCTGGGGAACCCCGCTGCGAAAAAAAACACGACGTCGGATGTTTGCTGCCCTGAGATCCGACGCTCCAAGCCAAAATGGGAGCGGCTGGTTTTGACAATTTCCAGCCTCCGCGAGCTTTTGGCGGGCTTCGGGAGCGTCAAACAACTGCTCAGGATGCGAAGGCGGCCCAGAGGAAGTGGTCCAGATGTCTGGGGCCCACACATCGCAAATCTTGGAGCGGCCTGATGTTTGGGCATCCGCGGACGACCTGCAGCCAAAAGCATGCTTTGCCGCGCTGGAGCGGGGCCTGAAGGGAGCCCAGACCTGGGACGGTGCACTGGCGCCCCCTTCGCCGCACTGGGAAGGGAGACTCGGGGCCCGCAGCGAGGGTGTCTCGCTGGCCAGGGTGCCGGCCGGGCCACAGGCCCGAGGCGGGGATCTGTGTGATCGTTTGCTTATTCGCTGTTTTGCCGATCGGCGCGGGCCCTCGCCCCCCCCCCTCCCCCCCTTTCATAGAGCAGGTCTTGGCTGTTTTCGGCTTCTTTGTTCAAGCCGGTGGGGTCTCCCCCAGAGGACGCACGGTTCCAAACAGTCGCACTGAGCAGAGGTCCGAAGCCAGACCCCCCCCCCTTTCCGCCCCTTCCGCCCAGTGTTGAAACGCCGAATAAGAAAACGCCCACCATCCATATAACCACCGCCTGGGTGATCGCTCCTCGCGGACCTCCACAGGCGGTGGAGCTGGATGTATTCGGCCCTCTGCCGGGGAAGCGTAAGACTCGAGAGCGCCGGACCTCGGGTTCGCCGGCGCTTTTGGACGAGCGCGTCCTGGATTTGGACGGTCCAGTTTTCGTGGGATGTCTGCGGCGGGAGCTCGCGTCAAATTTCAGACTGGCTCCAGGCATTTTCAGGATGGCCCCGACAGGCCAACCCGAGTCCCCCGTAATTACCCGAGTCTTGCGTCTCCTCGACCCTGGGGGCCAAAGTAGATCCGCATACCCACTGCCTGCTGGGGGCCCGGGACGTCGCATCCCCAGGCGGTGGATGTGGATAGATCGCTGCCTCTCAATAGGAGCAGGCAGCAGGCCAGCCTGGAGCGGCGCTTCGCCGGCCCCCCCGAGGCCGGCGACGCAGGCGCTTTCGTCTCGGCGGCGGGCGAGGGGGGGAAGCGAGAAGGGGCAGGCCTTCTTAGGAGGCTCGGAAGTCCCCCAGCCTTCCTAGAAGGGTTCCAAGCCTTCCCCGGAGACGCAAACAAAAAAAATCTCAGAAGGCGCAAGGGCTTCGGAGAAACCCAGCCGCCTTCTGAGAAGGCCTTCTCCCTCTCACTTCACCCCCCCCTCGCTCGCCGCCGATCGTCGGCCATGGCGCCAGCAGCGAGCCCCTGGGCTGGGCGCTGGGGGCCCTTCGCGCGCAGGGCTACGCGGTGGTGCGCCTCAGTAGCGAGGAGCACCAGCTGGTCGACGCGCTGTTCGCCCGCAGCCGAGAGTTCTTCTCGAAGGGGGAAGAGCTGCATAGACAGAGCGGTCCAACGTAAGACTCGAGTACAGTGGAGACCCATGCCAAGAAACACCCTGCTTGCCTCCAGGGTGCCCTGGGTTTCGATGGTTTTGCTATGGAAAGCGCGACGCTCCCACACCAAACGTCAATTGACGTCCAGGGGTCTCAGGATTGAGTCTCTTGTGAAAGGTTCCTTGTGGACTGGCCTCCACTGTACGCCGGAACTCGGGTTCGCCGAAGCTTTTTGACGAGCGCGTCGTGGGTTTGGACGGTCCAGTTTTCGCGGGATGTTTGCAGCGGGAGCATGCGTCAAGTTTCAGACTATGTCTCGTCGTTTCCATGATGGCCCCGTCAGGCCAACCCGAGTCCCCCGAACCCGATTCTTCTGTCTCCCCGGACATAGACTTCCGGGGGTTCACGCAGACTTCTTGGATCGGCGTTGGACCTCCCCGCGCGTCAGGGAGGGGGTTCCAGTGCCGATGCAAGAAAACCTGCGCGGACCGTCGAAAGTATATGCTCACAGTAGGTTCGTGTCGTGCCGACGTGGCAGCGACCCCACCGCGGGCGTTCAAGTTTGACCGCCGCCAGTGGCCCAGAGTCGGCAAATAAGGAGCGATCTGGCGATCGAAGAGCCGCCGATCGTTCAGAGGACGATCCACGCGGTGTCAAAAACCAGCGCCGGGGTCGTCACGGCACGAACCTGCCAGATGTGGTCGTTCCTTCTTCGGTCTTCGCCAGGGAGGCCAGGTACAAGGAGACCTTCAAGGTCTACCCCGTGCCGGGCGGGTACCTGACCCCATGCTGGCGGCGCGCAGAAGGGGGGCAGCGCGAGGGCGGAGGCAGTCTGCGGAGCCGTGGGGCGTCCTGGGGAAGCCAAGCCCCTGCACACGGAGCGTCAGTGAACGGGCCGGCAGCCGAGGATGAGTTGCCAGTGGTCAGCGAGCGAAGAACGGTATAAAATAAACTTTTCGCTGTCGGGGGCGCCTGCCCCTGGGCGGCTGGAAAGTTTCTACCCCTACGGTGCCACCGTAAGGGTATAAACTTTCCAGCCGCCCTGGGGCAGGCGCCCCGACAGCGAAAAAGTTTATTTTATACCGTTCTTCGCCCGTTAACGAGTGCGAGGTGAACCCCCCCGCCCAGAGCTAATGATGATGTGTCGACGTTTTCGTCGCCCCGGCGTAGCACGCACCAGTGCGAGAGGCGCATGCCCTGCCGCCCCGTTCTCCCTTGCAGAGGCCCCTTGGCTGCCGCCCCGTGTGCTGACGCCCTGCGTGCAGGGGCCGGGCGAAGGCGGGGTCCCCCTGCCCCTGTGCGGAGCCCCTCGCCTCCGCAGAAGGCCTCTCCCCCTGGCGCCACCCACCTGCGCGGGCCGCCCACCGTTCCCGGGCACGTACGAGCTGTTCGAGCTGCGGCGGGGGCTGGCGGGCTGCCCGGAGGAGCTCCGGGGCGCCATGGGCGCCTTCGCCCTCTTCGAGCGGCTGGCGCTTCGCGTCTGCGAGGAGGTGGGCCGTGACATCGCGAGGAAGACAAGAGCGACATAAGCAGACACTTTCGGAGCTGATCGTTGCTCTATTGGTTGTTCTGCCGATCGGCGCGGGCCCTCGCACCCCCCCCCAAATGGAGTAGATCCTGGCCGTTTTTGGCGCCAGTGTCGAGCAGGTAGAGCCTCCCCCATCGAACGCACTGCCGCAAACAGTCGCACTAAGCAGAGGTCCGGAACCAGACCCCCCCCCCCTTCCGCCCAATGTCGAAACGCCGGGCAAGAACGCTCACGAGCTCCACACGGATTTCTTGGATCTGCGCTGGGCCCCCCTTGGCGGCGCCTCTGGCTCCGCCCCACGGCGCGCTCCGCGCGCCCCCCCCCAAAAAAAATACCGTCCCCGAGCCAAGAGACGACCTGCGCGGACCTCCGAGGGCGTGTGCTTCTGGGGGCCCCTCTCCTCCTCCCGACCTCGGCGTGGACCTCGCCGCGCCCCCCCCCAAAAAAACAACGTCCCCGAGCCAAGAGACAAAACCTGCGCGGACCTCCGAGGGCGTCTGCTTCTGGGGGCCCCTCTCTTCCTCCCCGACGTCGGCGTGGACCTCGCCGCGATGCCCACGGAGACCTCGCCCACCCTGCGGCTCTCGGGAGGAGGAAAAACACACAGACACAATGAACCGTCGATTCCCCAGAAAATATGGGAAAATATGGCAATTGGGCGGGAAGGTAAAAATCCAGAAAGTATGGGAAAATATGGGGAACCATTTCATTTGTGTGTATTTACTTGTGTGCCCCAGGGCCCCTTCAGGCTCATCCACTACGACCGGCCCACGGAGAGCCGCGGGCCCCGCGACCACCGCCGGGCGCCGGGGCGGCCGCCCGCGGCGGGCACCCCGGTGCGCCTCGTGGGGCTCCCCGGCGAGGACTTGGTGGTCCCCAGACGTGGTGGTGACAGCACCTTCTAGGCCTCCTAGATGGGGTCGGAGTAGATGGGGTCGGAGGATCGCGCCGCATCGCCGATGCATCGCCGATGCGGCTCGATGTAAGGGCCGATTTGCTTCAGGTCGACGTCGCCAATGCATCGCCGACGTCGACGATGCATCGCCAGTGCATCGCCAGTGCATCGCCGATGCATCGCCGATGAATCGCCGATGTATCGCCGATACGGCGCGATCCTTCGACCCCATCTACTCCGACCCCATCTAGGAGGCCTCTACACCTGGCGGTGAGTCTCGGGCGATTTGGTGTCACCACCCGGTTTGGGGACTCGTGCGCTTTTCCGAGGATGTCCCGGACACTGGTGGGTCCAGGAGTCACAGAACCCGGTGGTGACCCCGCGTCCCCAACCCCAGCGGTGACCTTTTTGGGGATTCCAGGTCGCCACCTGGTATCTCACCACCCGGTTTGGGGGTTCCCAAGAGGACGCGGCCCTGAACGGCGCCAAGGCCGCGGTGCGGTCCTCGGCCGGCGGCGCCGTGGAGGTGGAGGTGCGGCGGCGCGCTCGGGGGGGGTAAAACGACGCGAAGATCGGGACAAACTCGGATCGGGATAACGCGAGATCTCTGAGAATCGGCGGGTTTGGAGGATGCATTGGGCGCCGCGGCCGCTCCAGAGCGTTCCGGAACGCTCTGAGAGCGCTCCAGAACGCTCTGGAGCGATTTATCCCGATCCCAGCCCTGTTTTAGGGGGGGGGGAAGTGGCGGGTGCTTAGAGCGTGAATTGCCTACCCCGCTTTCGCTTCCAGGCAAAACCAAGCCCTACCACGCGCCGCCTCGTCAGGCGGCCTGACCAGTGCAGGCCGCAGTTTGGCACCGCGTGGCATCTCCTGGCAGCGAGGGTGGTCAACAGCGAGATAGGTTTGTTTGCCCCCTAGGTGCGGGGGGTGCGAGGGGTTGCGGGTTTCGGAGTGCGAGGCTCCCGCGCGCTTTCGACGGCCCTCGAGGCTCGGGGTGCGTCGTGGGTTGCGGGTTCGAGGGGTGAGTGCGAGGTTCGAGGGGTTGCGGGTTTCGGGCTTCGGGCTGCGGGTTGCGGGTTGCGGGTTTCGGGTTGCGGGTTGCGGGTTCAGGGGGGGGGGAAGTGCGAGGCTCGAGGGGGTGCGGGTTTCGGAGTGCGAGGTGCTCGCGCGCTTTCGACGGCCCCCTCGGGGCTCGGGGTGCGCCGTGGCGGCTGCGCCGCCTCGCCGAGGGCCTCCCGGCGGTGCCCAGCTCGCCCCCCAGGCGGCCACTTGGAGCGCCGAGGCACGCTCCAGAAGCCACCAGGCGTCCGAGGAGGAGGAGGAGGAGGAGGAGGAGGAGGAGGAGGAGGAGGAGGAGGAGGGAGGAGGAGGAGGGAGGAGGAGGAGGAGGAGGAGGAGGAGGAGGAGGAGGACCTTCTCAGGAGGCTCTGAAGTGCTCTGGCGTCCTGAGGAGTCTTCTGAGTTTTCCCCCAAACAGACATCGGGAGCCTCTCATAAGGTGCGAGGGCTCCTGAGAAGTCCCGCCGCCTTCCGAGAAGGCCCTCGCCCCCCCTCTCTTCCCCCCCTCGCTCGCCGCCGAGAGGTGGATGCCGAGACGACCCCGCGGGCAGTGGTCGCCGCGAGGGGGGGATCCAGGAGGCTCAGAGTGCAGCTGTCCAGCCTGCGGGTCCTAGGCTCGGGCCGGACGGCAAGGGAGGGAGAGGGGCCCCTAACTGCGGGGGGGATACGGCGTCTGCGGCGTGCCACGAGACCCGGCCCCCGCCGCCGGGCGTGCTCCTCGAGGAGGGCTCGAGCATCGGGCAAACGCAAGACTCGAGTGCAGCGGAGACCCCTGCCAAGGAGCACCCTGCTTGCCTCCAGGGTGCCCTGGCTTTCTTGGGTTTCGATGGTTTTGCCATGGAAAGCGTGAGGCCCCCACACCAAAAGTCAATGGACGTCCTGGGGCCTCAGGGAGATGGGTCTCTTGTGGAAGATTTCTCTCGTGGACTGGCCTCCACCGTACGCCGAAACTCGGGCTTGCCGTCGCTCTTTGACGAACGCGTCTTGGGCTTGGACGGTCCAGTTTTCGTGGTACGTCTGCAGCGCGAGCTCGCGTCAAGCTTCAGACTGGGTCTCTTCATGTTCAAGATGGCCCCGTCAGGGCAGCCCGGGTCCCCCGGACCCGAGTC